GTAGCACCTTAAAGACTAACAAAATATGTGGCAGGGTAGGAGCTTTCATGAGTCACTGCTCACTATTTCAGATCGTGTAAGTGAAGTGTAGTCTGTGCGATGTCTGCAGGATGAGCCGTAAATCTAGTTCAGTGCACCCAAGCGAGATGTGGAGAAGGTGGGAAACTGACTGGGAGAAAGTACTTCCCTGAGATCCAGAATATAATGGCTCACACTGACCTCAATCAAAAATTCAAGAACAGTCTTTCTGCTGGAGCTTCCCAAGCAAAAATGTTCTTAGCTGTAGCTTTGGACTATCCTTTATCTCTTCCTAGTGCAGCTATCTCAGGTCTTAAGGTATGAGGAGAGAAAGAAGCACAGTCGTTTTCTTTTCTAACCCACTAGGGTCTTTGTGACACATGTTTTTTTTCCATTATAATTGTATCCGACTCTTTCTCCAAAGAGTTGGGAGCCGAACTTTGTTCTCTGTGCTCCACCTGTTTGAAATAAGGTCATGGGAGAATGGGACCTTTGCTGTTGTTGCGCTTTGGTTGCAGAATGCTCACTCTGCGTCTGTTTGACTGGTGCTGAGCTTGTTAAGAACATAAGAACATAAGAGCCTAGCTATACCTTGTGGCTAATAGCCACTGATGGACCTCTGCTCCATATGCTTATCTAATTCCCTTTTGAAGCCGTCCATGCTTGTAGCCGCCACCACTTCCTGTGGCAGTGAATTCCAAGTGTTAATCACTCTTTGGGTGAAGAAGTACTTCCTTTTATCCGTTCTAACCCGACCGCTCAGCAATTTCATGGAGTGCCCACGGGTTCTTGTATTGTGAGAAAGGGAGAAAAGTACCTCTTTCTTTACCTGCTCTTTCCCATGCATAATCTTATAAACCTCGATCATGTCACCCCTCAGTCGTCTTTTCTCCAAGCTAAAGAGCCCTAAGCGCTTTAACCTTTCCTCATAGGGAAAGTGTTCCAACCCTTTTATCATTCGAGTTGCCCTTTTCTGCACTTTTTCCAAAGCTATAATATCTTTTTTAAGGTGTGGTGCCCAGAACTGCACACAGTATTCCAAATGAGGTCTCACCATTGATTTATATAGGGGCATTATTATATTGGCTGATCTGTTTTCAATACCCTTCCTAATAATCCCCAGCATAGCATTTGCCTTCTTTATTGCAGTCACACACTGTCTTGACATTTTCAGTGAGTTATCTACTACAACTCCAAGATCTCTCTCTTGATCTGTCTCTGCCAGTTCAGACCCCATCAATGTGTATTTATATTTAGGATTTTTGGCTCCAATGTGCATCACCTTGCACTTGGCCACATTGAACCCCATTTGCCATGTTGACGCCCACTTGCCCATCTTTGACAGATCCCTTTGGAGTGCCTCACAATCCTCACTGGTTTTCACCACCCTGAACAGTTTTGGGTGCACCTTGTTCAGTTTTGGGTGCACCTTGAGACCTTTCTTATTCATCCTGGCTTTTATATATTCTGTATCACTGCTACTTATGTTCTGTTCAGTATCCTGCTACTTTGACTTTGTCGATGTTTACTTATTACCTAATGCTTTTGCTCTTTTCAGTTAACTATTTGTTGCTGCCGCTGCACTTTTATTTTTATGCCTGCTGTTGATTTAATGCCAATAATTTTCATTGTTTTAATTTTTTTTTACAAAAGCTGCCCTAAGGCAACTTGCTCAAGACCACATGGTGAAATGTGTTGCTAAGATTCTGAATTTCCCCCACATCTAAATCCAACACTCTAGTGTGTTTGCTGCTGTACTGCAGTTCTTAAGTGGCTTTAGAAGCTCTTATGGACTTTTATGTACTTGCCGCTGATCAAACCCAGATGGGATGAGCTGCTTAAGTGGCTTTAGAAGCTCTTATGGACTTTTATGTACTTGCCGCTGATCAAACCCAGATGGGTAGAGCTGGCAGGAGCAAGGGAAACCCAAAATGTGTTCCAGTACACATAAGCAACCTGTAGGTTGGACCCTGAGTACCATCAGCAGAAGGTGGTGACCTTCGCCATGTTCCCTTCCCCCAGCAGTCCTTTCCAAACCCTAGAAAATAGAATCATGGGATTTTTGTGTACTAACAACCATTTGGGTAGGGGAGCTTGTATTTGGGAAAAGGGTGAAATCTCACCTCTTTCTCTAACATCAGAAAAGGGGAACACAGAAAAGGTCAACATTCATTTCACTGACTGTTTCCAACCCTGTGTAGATAATGAAAAGGAAGATGTACAGTTGGGAGGTGTACAGATTTCAGGTATCAGCAGAGTGTTAAACACCAAGTTAGTAGAAAAAGAGACAGAGTTCAGGTTAGTACAACACTTGCTGTCCTCCCCCTGTGATCTGGCTTGCTGAACTGGTTTGCAAAGAGGAAATTTTAAAAGCTACAAAACATAGCAACAGATCGTTTATAGATATTACTTCGCTTCCCTTTTGCTGTGATGAGTGAAGATCAGGCCATGGGTTGCACTCTCCCTTGTGGAATGACTGGTTTACATTTTAAAAAACGTTAATCATGTTCTTTCTGTTATGTCTGTGGAGAATAGTCTGACTCCCCAGCCGTCTTGAACTGAATCTGATTGCTTAGCCGGACTGTATAACTGAGAGCAGTGTTCAAAAAGCGCCTTATCGAATCAGATGTAAAAGCCTCTTTCTTTGATTATGCCATGGCAAGAAGACCCCTCTGCAAGCACACGAGTGCTTCCTGGCAAGGAGCATTGCTGGGTGGCTTGCAATATGAATATGAAGTTCACACCATTTATTCAGAAGCATCTTTATGGATTGTCTGAGTAAAGAATGATTTATTATATTACATTTATGAACCGCCCAGTCCCTACTATCGTAGGGCTCTGGGTGATATACAACATAGTAAAAACATTAAAACTATAAAATAAATACAAGCAGTATTGGCATTAGTACATGAACTAAAAAATCAAATGGGGAAAATTACAGTTTTCTCCCATTTCCGGCCTGTGATCGCCTCGGGGGTGTGTGGGGTGGATATCTGAAGCAACACGTGGCTGAAGATTTGCCATATACAATTTTGTTTGCCTGAACTTCAGTTTATGGCTATGATACCCAAATGTAGAATATTTTCTTCCTGGATGCTTAGTGATTAATTACCTCACTGTTCACACTATCCATACATGTGTGTGTACAGAAAAGTATTAAATAATGTACCGATTTAGGTCAATACCATGTACATTTGCTGAAGTGGTCTCTCATCCATAGAACTCACAGCAAATCAAATATTTATACTGCTGCAAGACTTTTGGGATATATTACTGCACGCAGGTTACTATTCCCAGCATCCAAAGAGACTGATAATTGCAGGTCTGTAGCACTTTGATGTGCCATGATGACTTTTATGTTTCCTGTAACATATGTGCCCTTTTTTCCAGCTCTTATGTTAAGTTTGATATTATTCGAAGGATAATAACCAAGATATTTGGAAAGGAAGTAGTCATGGTGATGGGGATCACAGACATAGATGACAAAATAATTAAAAGAGCTAATGAGGTAAGTTATGGAACCATTACCGTTATGCTGTTTTACACACAATGCCTGTTGTATCGTATAGGCATATTCTGACACTTAGCCCATGAAAACCTTTAGGGTGAAAGTGAGTTTTGGAGAGGAAAATTCTTGCATGTGTGCATATGCACGTACACACATGCACACTGTCTGCCTTTTCCTATGTTGTTTATACCTTCTTTCCCCCCCAGTCTGCAGCTTTGGTGTCGTTCTTAAAAGATGAGCTTATGTTTTAAGCTGATCACGGCTCACATAGGCAGTGTGGTGTTGTATTGGTGCACAGCCAGTTACATGTGGCTGTATAGCTGAAGGGAGCATCTCATCTTGTATGAACCCATCTGCTGATCTCCTCTGCGTGGCCCCACACTTTAACAGGCCTTGTGGATGAGCAAAAGAGCCTTGGTTTTTCTGTAGTGGCACCAAAGCTCTGGAAGTCCATGTCTGCAGATACTGACCTACAACCAAATTCACAACTGTTTGGACATCAGATGAAACTTTCCCTCCTCCCAGCATTTGTCAGTCCTTCTCAACTGTGGAACTCTATTAATTGTTTTATCAGATTGTCTTGCTTTTATCCCATGGGTTTTTTTAATAGGCTGTTCTTGTTTTAAATATGTTTATTGCATTTGCCTCTCTGTCTGTTGGTTTTCTCCTTTATTATCTTGCTTGTTGTTTGCTTATGGTTGTTAAGTTGCCTCACAGACAGTTATGTGGAGATGTAGGGTATAAATATTTTAAGTAAATAAGTTGTGTCAAAGTCAAATTGGAGTGAGGGAAGGAGGCAGTGCCCTTGCTCTGGCTTAGCGTTAGCTATGTTGTTATCATCAGGGAGCCTATTTGGAGGGAGGGAAATGCTCCTTGCTCTCATCTGAAGGCGTGAACATTTTCACCCTGATCCCTCTGAACTATAGTGTGTGTGTTTGTGTGTGGCAGAGTATTCCTGGTTGCAAGGAAATCACTAGTTACGGTAACTCATCTGTCATTCCTTCTTTATAATGTTTTTCTTTTGCTAAGACAAGGTCTTTAATACCCCCTTTATTTTGGAAATTTTAAAATGTTATATTTGCAGTGCAGGCAAATTTCAGAGTAAAGAGGTTTTTGCACTTGGCAAGTAGAATGCTTGCACACCTCAGTGCAGTAATTGATGAGGCCTCTTGGCTTTCCCTTGGATTCCTTTCTTGTTTTCTGGTTAGCCATTAGTTCTGATAATAACGTGGTATTTTAAAAAAAGAATAGTTTAAGTGTATGCTTTAGCTATGTGCCTCTCTGTTACAGATGAATATATCACCAATGGCTCTTGCCCGCTTTTATGAGGAAGACTTTAAGCAAGACATGGAGGCATTAAAGGTACAGATAGTTCTTTTGATGCTTTTGCTTTGAATGTGCGTTAAAGGTACAGAATATGGTTCTTTTGATGCTTTTGCTTTGAATGTGAAGCATTCTTACTGATGTTAAAAGGAGGCTAATTTAAAACATAGTTTTAGATAAGCCAGTAAATGGCCTTGTCTTTGGTCTGGTAAGCTCCCCCCCCTCCTCCGGTAACTTTGCAGATAATTTATTTTCAGTAGTTTTAGTCACAGTTTTGTGTTGTTTGTGCAATGGTGTGATATTGTTGCACTGGTCATATCAATGTTGCATGAACTGAAATGGGTGGAAGCCAGTGTTCCCTCTAAGCTGAGTTAGTGTGAGCTAGCTCACAGTTTTTTAGTCTCTGGCTCACACATTTTTGTCTTTTTCGAGAGCCAATTTGGTGGTTAAGTGTGTGGAATTTAATCTGGGAGAACCGGGTTTGATTCCCTACTCCTCCACTTGCACATGCTGGATGACCTTGGGCAAGCTGTAGTTCTGGCACAGCTGTTCTTGAAAAAGAGCAGTTTCTGTCAGAGCTCTCTCAGCCCCACCTACCTCACAGGGTGTCTGTTGTGGGGAGGGGAAGGGAAAGGAGTTTGTAAGCCGCTCTGAGACTTCTTTGGGTAGTGAAGGGTGGGGTATAAATCCAACCTTCTTCTTCTTAGCTTAGGAAGGATGGCTTCGGAGCAAATAATTTATGCAGTAGCCAAATCGCTCACTCACAACTTTAATGCCAGTAGCTCACAAAGTAGTCACAAGACTACAGCTTAGAGGGAGCATTGTCTGGAAGCCCTTAAGATTCCATCATGGCCATCCTAAGTGGCATTAGGCTGCATATAGTACACACACACACACACACTCTCACACCCGACCTGGTATCGTTTAATCTTTGAATGGCTTGCCAAGTGTAGTGGTTTTGGATGAGAGCTGTAAGTGAGATTTATAAGTGTTCAGTTTATTTTGATACAGGATCAGCTTGATGTAAGTGTTCAGATATGTCTTGCGAGTCTCTTGAGCCAAAGTGATTTCATTGGCTCAAACATTGTACCTTGAAACAAAACCTGCCACAGCCCATGAATCATTAATACCTTTCTGCTATCGTTGGGAAATATTTTTTTTGAATACGGTAGAACTTCAGTAGGCCTTGTTTGCAGCAAAGGATTTGAAGAGCGTAGACTTGGCGCCCAAACCAAACAGAACCGAGACACCTGTTTCAGTAGGATTTGATTCCAAGCAGGCATGCTTAGGTATGGACTGAAGCCATGCAGCCCAGCCCTTTGCATATTCATTTATCCCACTGTGTTCAGTGGTGCAAAATAAGTGGGCATAGAACTGAAGTCTTTGGGAATCAGTGGTTGCTTTCAAGTTGATATTTTATTAAATCGAATATTTTATTAAATCAGATATTTTATTAAATCGGATAAATAAATAAATAAATATTAAAAAGGTGTTAATGTGTTGCAGTCATGCTCCTGATAGCCTTGACTAATCAAATGTAAAGCAAAGCTATGTTTTTTTTTCTTATTTAAGGTTCTTCCTCCTACAATATATATGAGGGTAACTGAAAATATTCCTCAGATCATTGCTTTTATACAGCAGCTTGTTACCGGTGGACATGGTTATGCAACCTCCAAAGGTAAAGTTTCCAAATAATACAATCAGCAGTTAATGGCCCCCAAGCACCAAGATGACAGAGCATCACTTACCCCAGAGTCCCTATCTATACCTTGTGGCTAATAGCCACTGTTGGACCTCTGCTCCATATGCTTATCTAATTCCCTTTTGAAGCCGTCCATGCTTGTAGCCGCCACCACTTCCTCCCATTCATATCAAACAAAGCAAGAAGGGATAGCCTATCATGTCTGTAAGAGAGTGCCCACCCACAAATTCATTATGGTCTCTTCCAATGCTCCTTCTAAGCTGTGGAGTCTTGTGAGCAAAAATCCTACTTTGTGAGCTCCTGGCATTAAAATTGTGAGCGAGCGATTTGGCTACTGCATAAATTAGTTTGCTCTGGAGCCATCCTTCCTGAGCGAAGACAAAAATAAGTGAGCCGGAGGCTAAAAAACTGTGAGCTAGCTCACACTAACTCAGCTTAGAGGGAACACTGGTCTCATCCCTCTGCACTATGTTGCATCTCTGTGTACTTGTGAACCCTTCTGCTTTGAGTGTTCTTTAACTTAGCTGAAACCTGGCCAGGGTTTAAGGTTAGTAGGGCTCTTTGTCTCTGGGAAGAGGTGCTAATAATAATTATCATATGGCATTGTGTGTAGAATAGCCACGAGATCCTAAGATTGCCTGGCAGCCAGGAGTTCTATCTCTTTTAGCATTATTCACCACTAGGTGGTGAGTTAGACTTGTTTTTAAGGCAAGAGATGTTTCAGAGGTGACTTGCCATTGCCTGCCTATGTGTCGCAGCCCTGGTATTCCTTGTAGGCCGCCCTTCCAGATACTAGCCAAGGCTGAACTTGCTTAGCTTCTGACGCGATTGGGCTAGCCTGGGCTATCCAAGTCAGGGTGGAAGAGGTGCTGGAAACAGGAGCTACTACAGGCCTACAGAACCTGTTTTTAACAGTAGCTCTGAGATGTTACCAATCTCCGTTGTTCCAAAGCAGAACTGCACTTTAAGGAAACAGTATCAGATTGACTTTGTTTTGCTTGTAGCCCATCTTACTCATCACAGGCAAGATCAGTACCACTTTGGAGTGAGCCGCCCTCTTTGCTTGTGTCTTTCCCATAAACACTTGCCTGCTTACATTGCCCAGACAGTGGATGCTAATTAATCCATGCTGGTTGTGCCAGGAACGTGGTGCCACCGGTTTTACATCTCCTAGCCATGAGCAGTGGCAGCTTCTGTGAATGGTCAGAGTAGTGTCAGTAGATGTTGCAATGTTCAGCCTGCTCACACTATATACTCACTGCAGGGTTGGTGTGGCACTTCGGCACCGTGGCTTCTAGCAAAGGAGAGCCATGTGACAACGCTAGTTGGGGTGGGTGTATAAGCATAAGAGCATTTATAGACCGCAGCATTAATAAGTGAAACAAATCTCTTCCGTCTTTGTTCCCATCGAAGTGGTACCTATTTATCTACTTGCAATTTCTTGCTTTCGAACTGCTAGGTTGGCAGGAGCTGGAACTAGAGACAGGAGCTCACTCCGTCATGCGGCACCCGGGTCACGAACTGCTGAACTACATTACACACACACAATCACTAGTTTGAGGCAAACACTGAATTTTGGAGGCTATCTTCCGTGCACTGGGAATTTTATTCTGTTGAACACACATGGCTTTAGAAAGGTATCCAGTGTAACAGCAGCTACACTCAAACGTCCTGTCAAGCCAACACGAAACCGGAATGTCCACAAACATGGCTTGTTGCCAGGCTGGCACACTGCCTTCCTTCTCCTGGTTTAAAACTAACCCTGGTTACCTGTGGTGTGTCAATTCAGGGGCCTGGCTCAACCAGTGTTAGCTGTAGTCCTCCCAAACTGGGATTCTTGCTCTAGATTAAACCCTGGTTTAGCATTTTGTAAGATGAAACTGAAGTTCTGGTGTTCATATGTCGCAAGTAACCAGAATTAATTTTAGACCAAGATGCCTTCATCATGCTCTGTGCTGGACTGGACAGGGAGGTAGATGCACAAGCCTGCCAGCGAGCTGAGCCTGCGCACAACTCAGACTTGATATGATGTCTGAACGAAGCCTGCGCACAGTCTGTAGCTAGCTGGCACCTCGCGTGTGTTGTAGCCAGATCAGTCTTTTGTAGAAAGAAAACATTTTCCTCTTAAAAATTCTTTCTGTAGTAGTCCCAGTTTAAATCTATAGAACTTTCCTTGTATTTCCTTCTGCTAAGTGAGGCATCTTCCTCTGGAGCAAGGCTCCTCACTTGTTCAACAGGAGTCATAGGATCCAACTGGTTTTGTATCTCAAAGTGAATCTGTATTAAGGGGGTGTGTTTTTCCATGCAGAGACTGCATATGTGTACACAGAATAGCATGCAACATGTGTATAGAGCCTTCATGCATTCTTATTGCCAGCTAAGAAATACATCTTTTCAGCTTCCATAAACTTCGTACGGTACTGATAATCACATATACTACTCCAGAGCTGAGAGCCAGCACGGTGTAGTGGTTAAGAGCAATGGGCTGTAATATGGAAAACT